TCTAGGACTTCATCTAAATGAGATAATTTATGTGCCTATAACTGCTGGGCTGTTTAACTGGCAGCATGCAGTAAATTCCCAAAAGCTGAATAGTAGCCTGTTTACTTTGATAAGGAAAGGATACATCCTGACCCAGCAGAAAGACTCCTACATTTCGAATGTTCTAGATTTTATCAATGCGGCTGTGGTGGCCTCACTATAATTTGTAACAGCTTTACAAGTTAGCTTTTGGAAGGTCCCGCACCGTTGTGTTTGCTTTAATATTGTTAGTTTATAGCATCAGGTGTTTATTTGAAATGCAATCAGCATAACCTTATCCATTTCTCATAACAACCCCTTCCTCACTCAACAGATAAGGCTCAGAGAAGTTAAATGATGCACGTTAGGTTGGGATGAAAATTAAAGGCACAGTCAGGGCTGGAGCCCTGCTTACTGTTCTGTCTCGATGCCTGCCTCAGCCCAGCGTAATGATACACTCAGGTTTTGTGTCATTCTCCCACCACCAGTTCTCTTCATGTAGATCCAGACAGATAGCAGTCAGTGGTTTGAACCCGTCAGCCACCCGATGGGAGAAAGGACCTACTGAACTGGCCCCATAAAGATTACAGCCTAGAAAACACTACGGTGACGTTCCGCTTTATCGTGTAGAGTATCTGTGGCTTCAGATAGACTTGAAGCTCATAACAACAATGATTGTAGTCTTCCCTCAAATAATCTCACCCTTTTTAGTCATGACTTATGTAGAGTTATCGTCACATATTTGTATGGGCCAATTTTAAATATCATACCTACCTGAATATGCCCACCTCTGTTATGGAGTTGATTCTGATTCGTGCGGACCCTCCACGAACTTTCAGAAGCTGTGCATTCTTATGAGTGAGACTGTCCATATTTCTTCCAATAGCAACTGGTGGACTCAAACTGCCGACCTTTCAGTTAGCACGCCATACCACCAGAGCCCCTATGTTTAGAAATATACCGTCTATATACCCCATGTGATATATATTTATGCATATATCCTTATATGCACTTTTCATATGTGATATGTTGTTGTTGATTGCCATCAGGTCAAGCATGATTCGTAGCAACCCTATGAACAAAAGGCCTGACGCTTTACTATTAACCATCATCATTTATCAACGTTTATAGAGTTTCCAGAGGGATGTGGTTTAGGAATTGGATGCCACTCCTTCCTGTGATACTTTCCTTAGTAGCTCCTAAAAGCTTTTAAAATGATTTTTTAGAGTAACACTTTCACTTTACAAAATAGAATTCAAAACATTTCCAGTTTAGTGCATTTCTCCGGATGCTTTATTCTTGCAGATGATAGTAAATGAGTGCATTGTGCATGTCTTGTGCTAATGCTAGTGTGTTTTCCTCTTAAACACAAACTTGTCAGAGAGGTAAGCCATATATGCACACACTCATACACACTGTATAAAATGTATCGTTGAAAACTGAGCACTGTGAGAAAAGCTATAGTTAAATCACTAGAAAAGTTGAAAGAAGAGGAAATTACTTCCAAGGCAAAGCTTGGAAGACTTTATCCAAGTGGTAGAATGTTATCTAGGTCATTATCATATTTATTGAATGCCTGCTGCAAATTGGTCATTCTTTAAGACCTGAATGATGCAGCATTGAACACGTTCTGATGACAATTGAGTTGGAACCAACTCATAGCTGGCACTTCAATCAATGGATTTTCCAGGCTATAATTTGCAGAGGAGGAGAGAGCCCATCTTTCTCCTCCCTCAGAGCCACCAGTGGATTTGAATCTTCCAGAAGGCACACTCTCTGAGTTAGCCGCATGACTCTCTGTGGACTGCACTGTGAGAACATTGAATAAGTCAGACCCAATTCCTTCTTTACATTTTGATATGGTGAGATAGGTAATAAATAAACAAATCTATATTCCAATTTAAAATGTATTTGTTATTCACCTTATTCCTCATAAATTCTGTGGGGGAATGAATAAGAGAAAAGGTGGAGGAGAGGAAAGGGGCATGTGCTGTGTCCAGTAGAATGACGAGGGTATGGAAACAGTGAGTCAATGTTTGAGCAGTATGACTGGAAGGGAGACATGCCCTCTGAGAGGATCTGGCTGACGAGTGTTCCAGGCAGACTGACGAGCAAGGGGAGAAGCAGGCTGACTGGAGCAGAGCAGGCGAAGAGGAACATGGTGGGAAGTGAGGTCTGAGAACTAGAAAGAACAGATCTGGCAGGGCCAGGAGGTTTCAGGAATACCTGAGTTTAATCAGAGTGAGAAGGAAAGAAACGGATCAGCCTGAAGGAGAGGTGTGTCATGCTCTGAGAGAAGTTTTTAAAGGTTCCTTTTGGCTGCAGTGAAGAGCCTTGGTGGCATAATAGAGAGCTCTGGTGGCCTAGTGGTGAGAAACTGTACGGCAATTCTGAAGACCTGTGGTCTGAATCCACCATCTGCTCCATGGGAGAAAGATGGGCAGTCTCCTCCAATGGGATTTACTACTTCTGAAAAAGCCGCTGGAGGGTCCACTATGGGTTGAATCTGACTCGATAATAGTAGTGGTATAATGGGCTGAGCGCTGGACTGCTAACGAATGGTGGGAAGTTCAAGCCCACAGGCTACTCTGCAAGAGAAAGATGAACCTTGGAAACGCTATGCAGGGTCACCAGGGGTTGGAATCAGCTTGATGGCAGTGGTTTGATTTGATTTGGTTGGACTGCTTTGTTTGGAATGTCCTGTTGTGCAGGAAGGGGTAGAAACAAGGGAACAAATTGTTACAATAACCCCTGCAGGAAGGAGATGAGGCTGGTGTAGATCAAAGTGGTAATCGAGGCAGTGAGGAAACATGCTTTTCTCCTGGGTGGAGTAAGGAGACCAGGTGAAAGGATTTACTGGTGGAATCAGTTGTGATGCCTCAGAGAAAAAGGAATCCTGGATGCCACCATGGTTTTTAGTCAAAGGTCTGGAAGGGTGGAGTTGACTTTTACTGAGTTGAGGAGGAAGGTTATGGAGTGAACAGTCAATCTGACAAGAGAAGTTGGAGATGCCTGGTAGACTTCCAAGTACACAGCGACTTGGATCCTGAAAAATGATTGGCATTTTAAAAGGTATGTGTGATGGTGAACTTTTATTTTGTTGAAGGGACCTGTGGAGGGAAGATCTTTATGGGTTCTGGAGGCTGGGTGATAACTTAAGAAGCTGTCGTGGATGTCCAGGCAAGAGTTGGTTGTGTGCTGATCTAGGGTGCTGGCAATAGAAATGGAAAGAAAAAGACACTGACTAAAAGGCCTTGATAAGTAATTGAAGGGGGGAGAAGAGAGAAGGTAGGGTGAAAAATGCCTCTTAGGTTTCAGATGTAGATGATTGGGCAGGCAAGGTGACATTATCAGACTGAACAGAAAAGCACAGGTCTGGGCACAAGATTGAATGTGGCTGCATCACCCATTACCATGTGTTTAGTGAATTCTAGTTGGCAGAATGCTTTTGTGGATTTTTTCAACTGGTCCTGTGGTGGTGGAGGTACCTGGGGAAGTCTTTGAGGAGATATTTATTAAACAAGTCATTGGATGGATCAAAGGAAGGGCAGGGCCTGACCTGTGAATATTTGTTTTGGGGTGGTGATTAAATTCCCGAGTTAGTCTGTTGGGAAAGAAGAGGAACTTGGTGATGGTAAGACATTGGAGAAAGCAAAATTTAGGAGCCCCAAAAGGAGAGATTCACATCTGGAGCTTCCCTTCTGGAAGGGGAGACCTCCCGTGATCTCCCCTTCTCTGCCAGTGTGGCTTATTTTCTCTCCTGAGAGCATACGGAGAGGTCCCTCTGGCCTTTGCTTAATACCCTGCTCCACTTGTCAATTTCGACTTTGATTGAGGTCACTGGTGGTTCAGTGATGAAATTCTTACCTTCCAGGCTGAAGACCTGGTTTGATGGCTAGTCAGTATGCTTCCAACCCATCCACCACCCATCTGTCAAAGCAGGTGTGTGTATTACTATGACCGGTTTCAGTAGTGCTTTCAGACCACGATAGACAATCAAGAAAGACCTGGACATTTACTTAGGAAAATCAGCCATTGAAAACTCTGTGGATAATGACTATCTTTCCGTTGTGCACAGGGTCACCCTGAGTTAGAACTGACTTAAAGGCAGCCAACAACAACTCCAGAGTGAGCTCTTCAAGAGTTCTTAAACTCAGTGCCGCAGAGTCAGAAACAACTCTGAGCTGACCTTCCATTGTGTTTCCGGCGCTCCAGAGCACCTGGGAGGAGATTGCCCACCTTTCTTCACTCGTGGATTTGACCACCAGTGAAGTGACCTTTGGATTAGAAGTACAACTCCTTATAAACAGTCCCACAAAATTTCTTCTTCAAGAACTGGTGCTCAGTAACTACTTGAAGTAAGAACTATTTATGAAAACATTCAAGTTGCCTTAATAAAAGGAGAAGGAAATACAGACTATTATGGCTGTCTAGTAACAATAACCGATAGAACTGGAGAGCAACTCTAGTACTGTAGGGGGGCAGGCCTTATACATTCTTTGAGAAGTAGCACCATTTATTCACAGTATTAAACTTGAGGAGAAAATATCAGGTAATCGTTAAATTATTTAATAAGTACCCAGAAAAGGCAGCCAACTTTTAAAAGATTATCTTTGAGGGTAGAGAGAAAAAAATATAGACAGGCGATTCTAAGGATTAAGAATTGTTTTCTCTAAAGTAAACCTTTGTTCATTGACCACTTCACATACGAACATCAGATCATTCGCTTGAGACTTTTGCAGGATCAGTTTAATCCTTTTCTGAAAGAATTCATGCTTGAGTACAGCACCAGGCTCTTGTTTCTGCGTTTTGGAAAAAACACTGCCATTTATCTGCTGCACTATTTCAGTGACACTATCGCTACAGTGTCTAGCTAGTACAGGCAAAATTTAGATGGAATTTCCAAATATAAGTCCAACCTTCCGCTTTTAACCTTCGCTCTGGTCACGTGAGCCTTGTAACCTTAGGTGTTCTTCTTGTAGGAGCAAGTCGATGAGCGATGTCAGCCCGGAGGATGTTCAAAACTTGCGTCAGCTGCATTACGAGGAGATGCAGAAAATAAGATCCCAACTAAAAGAACAAGATCAGAAATGGCAGGATGTGAGTATTCCTTAGACTGATAAGAAGCTGGGAGGCAGGAGAGTATATATATCTGTTTGAGTTCCCATTTCTTCTCTTTAAGTCATCACACTCATGAAATATTTTTTCTCATGTTACAGAATTCAGTTACTCCATAGAGAATGTGACCAACTCCCTTTAAAAGATTTTTTTTAATGCCCTTGAGTGAGTGTATCCCATCTGATTTTAGTGTGTGCTTATGTGTGGTAAAGTAGATTTATTGTTCAAAATTACTTTCTTAGGCCATTGCTCTCTGCCCCCCATTCTTTTTTTTTTTTAAAGCTTTAGAACTTTTTATTATTATTATATATTATAGGTCACTGTTAACATAGGACATAGATACAATAAAGAGCAGGGAGTGACTTTGACTTTCTTGAAGTATAGGTTTTTTGTTTTTGTTTTTTTTAAAGATCACTTTAGGGAGCCCTCGTGGTCTATTCCATAAGGAGTTGAGCTGGTAACCTACAAGGTAGTTGGTTCAAATCCACCGATAGCTCTGAGAGAGAAAGAGAATCTCCTCCCTTGTGGTTTACAGCCTTCTAAAACTTACTGAAGTGTCAGCTCTGAGTTGGTTCCAACTTGACAGTAATGAGTTTTGTGTTTTAGGGCACTTTGGTAATTGAATTGGGGGCACAACTGTCAATTATTCTTACGAAAGTAAAGCTTTGGCTCAAGACTTAGCACAGAAGAGAACTGGGGAGATGCTCAGGGGGAAATAAAAGGCGTACATAAGAATGAATAGAATTGTGGGAGAAATAAAAAATTTATTTTCCATACTGACTTGTGGGAAAAACAACACATGTGAACTTTATAAGTAAACCAGTATAAAATAAAAAAGAGAAATATATTTTTGAGTACTATTTAGGGTGAAAAGTCATTTTAAATATGAACCACATTATATGTATTTGCAGAGCTGACACTTATCCAAGTGTCTATAAATGCAGAATGATTTTTAGGTTTTGCCCTGTAAAAGCTCAGCCTTTATTAAAAGAGAGAGAATTTTTTAATAAATAAAAACAAAAGCAATACAACAGCCAACTCGAAGACATTTGAGGACAACTTTATGGTAAAAGGAGTTAAGTGGTAGCATGAACAAAAGGGCTGGAGATAGTGCATCTTTACTTTTCAAAGGAATTAAAGTTAATTCACTGAAGTAGAAACCCTTTGCCCTGGCTGTGTTTCCACATTCCAGTGCCACTTTGAATTGGGAACTTGATTGTCAAGGAACAGTAATTCAGTGTCACTTGACCAAAAGACTTGGAGAACATTTGATATGGAATTATCCAGCATTGAGGGGTTGTCCACTAGATTAAGTCGGATGAAAATTCGTACTACTTCGCCTACAAGTTTACACGCATGCTGCTTTTTTCTTTACAAAAATAGTTCATATTGATGTCAGGGAGTTAGCAGGAATGGCCTTGTCTGTACTCAGAGAGTATAAGCCAAATTTAATTTGCATGTCCCTGTGGGTGAGGAATTGTTTGCTGGAGACATTGAGTGAACCTTTATTCGCGTTAGGATGCTAAACACTACCTGCTTCTAGCACATATTTCTATGTATTGGAGACATTAGAACGTTGGATCCTTCCACAATGTCATGAACTCCTGGTAATTTAAAAACCAAACTAGATTGGTTGTCCTGGGGGTCGTGGAGTTCCATTCTAAGGTATGAAAAACAACTGCCAGCTTGTTTCTGTGTAGTCGCTACTATGTTGACCAATGTGGAGTTTTAGATCCATACCTGAGTGGTTCCTCCTACTGCAAAACCTTTTCAGACCCCACCATCCCCTTCCTGAAGTGAATTCAAACTGTGGATCTCTACTGTCCCATGTCGACCTATCCCACTTCCTGAACTTCTGTTTGCATGCATGTGTCTACCCTTGAAACTTCCAGCTCCTGATGGGGAACCACACCTCATTCATTTGTGTCCTGGCCCTGGCCCCGGCCCCCAGCCTCAAAGTAGGGACTGAGATTGTGTTTATTACCTGAAAGGCTGTGCCTACACTCAGCCACTACAATCAGGGTTCTGTTTTGTTCTTAACAGTGAAGCATGCTATTTCACATAGCAGGTTTTTGGATTCAGATAAAAATGAACCTGGTTCCTGATCTTTCTGACCTAGGACCTAATTACAAGCATTTAACATTCTCTGTGAAATGGACAACGAGGCAGACACTTTCTGGGAAAACAAATATGGGGTCTATCTTATTAGGTCAGGGTTTTTTTCAGACAGACACACGAGATAAAGGCTTAGTCCAGAAACACTGGCTATAAAAAGAAAAATTAGGGCACCTTGGCATCAACTTGGAGTGAATAGTTTCAGCGATGTAATGGGATACTCGGCACTCTGGCACTGGTAGAAAGGGTTCATAGAAATTCAGGTATGCCTGTGCTGATGTGATTTTTTTTTCCCTTGCTAGGACCTTGCGAAATGGAAAGATCGTCGAAAAAGCTACACTTCAGATCTGCAGAAGAAGAAAGAAGAGAGAGAAGAAATTGAAAAGCAGGCACTGGAGAAATCGGAGAGAAGCTCTAAAACATTTAAGGAAATGCTCCAGGACAGGTAATGAGGATGATTTGCATCCCCAGATGGAGGGACTCCGGTTAGAAAGAGATGTTTTGTGTACATAGACTGTGCTGTGTGTTCTCTGCTATTTGGCGTATAACCAGGTTTGCCAGGGAATATTCAACATTTTGTTCTGCTGTAAAAAAGGCAAGCAGTGCTCTGGTGGTGAGTCCTGTTAACAAAGCAAAGGAGACTTAACAAGCGTGTGCTTTACTTCTTTATTTAGTACATGCATGTGAGGAGGAATCAGCTGAGGTTAGCTGTGTTTGCTGCTGAAGACAAGTGGCCTTTACCCTGCTTAAAAGTGAAGTTCACACAGTCACATCAAAGCAGATCCCAATTATAACTATATGGAATAGAATAAAATATTTTTTCATGTTTTAATGGTGCAGCGCAAATGATAATGGAAATCTGTATAAACATAAATGTGGAGGTTGGTTTGGATTTCTTTTTTTTTTCATTGCAAAATAATAGGATAAAGATCCAGTTCAAGGTTTCCTGTAAAGCAGTTGCTATGTGAATTGAAACCTTAGGATATTTACAGATCAGGAAAAAGGCAAATATATGCTTAAGAATAATGTCTGAAAGGAAATGGGCTGTCAGGCGAAATGAAACAAAACTCCTTTGTACTGTGGAAGTCCGTGATACACAGTGCTATTGACTGAAATGCAACTCGGTTAGCTCGAGGGCTATAACCCTACCATGTCATTACAGATGAGAACGTTTCCAAAACTTCTCTATTAACATGGATGGTAACTTCTATTTATTTTTATATAATCATTTTTACTTAATGAAAGTCTATAAATCATATTGGTTTTCCATACAGCCATGAATGGTTACTTTTAACAATTTTCAGTAAAAAATTTTCCATATACTCTTTTTCAACCTGTGTGAAATGATATGCTGTACCAATCTGACCTTTTTTAAAAAAAAATATTTATACTGCCTTTCCTTTTACCCATCTTAATACGTATCTGTTCCTATTATACTGATTTTTACTCCTCTCTCCCTTGCCATCTTTGGTAACCTTCCAAGACTGTTTCTTTCTGTATATAAGCTTCTCTAGGTTTTATAATTGTGGACTCAGACAGTATGTACTAACTTGATCTTAACAGACTCCCAAGTCTTGTATTCTTTCATTTTATTACATTTTAACAAAGAGTCTCCAGGAAAAAAAAAAGCCCACAGGTGCCATCAGGAAATTCATCTCTCCAGAATTAAAATTGATTTTCACACAATGAGTTATATTTATGGAATTTTAATTTTGTGCATGTTGTAAACATGGAGATAAAATGTGGTCAATATCTGTCTGTCATTAAAATGCCTTTATTAAAATATCCTTATGATTTAAAAAGTAATGTCCCTGTGAAGCATCTGAGAGGCTTTTTTGAACCAAAGTTATATTCTTCCAGTCCTTCAAAAGAAATCACATTGTATATATTGATTATTGTCATTGAATTCCTCTTGGCTCATAGTTGACCCTGCATCCGGTTACTCTGCAAGTGGCAAATTGTACAAGAGGAGATAATTCACCTTTCTCCTAGAGAGCCTTTGGTGGATTTAAATTGCCAAAGAAGCACAGCCTTTATTTATTAAGTGAGGCTAGTGTGTATGTATGTAGTATCTAGTATGACGCTTCTGCATGTTAATTACCATGAGCGTGATCTCTCCACCTCTAGCCATCGATGCATAACTGACTGTGGTGTGCTTCTTTCTGCTAAGGGAGCACCGAAATCAACTGCCTTCCGATGATCCGCAGACAAGCATTCCACCCCAGAGACGGATGTATTCTTTTGATGATGTGTTGAATGAACAAAACCTGATGCCTACATTGACTGTGTCAGAAGCAAGTTCCAAGAGCAAGAGGATGGAAGAGAAGGAGACACCTTATCCAGTAGAAATTGCTAAAGAAGATGCAGAAAAAGAGGACCACGTAGCCACTGAAATTCCGTTAGCTTCCAAAAGCCCTGCCGAGGAGCCACACCCAGCCTCTTTTTCTTCTCAGTATTCAGTGAGCGCACAAATGCAGTCCACTCGGGTTTCAGCTTCTCTCCCCAGAAGCTACCAGAAAACCGATACAGCCAGGTTAACATCTGTGGTTACACCGAGGCCTTTTGGCACTCAGTCAAGGGGAATCTCATCACTCCCTAGATCGTACACGGTAAAAAGGCTTTCTGTCCATTCAGTGTGTGTCGAAAGTGAGGTTCCTCTGTATATGATGTGTGGGCTGTACATATAAGGAATATAAGGCATCTTATTTGGGGCTGTTTAAAACCAGTGAAATTTTTGTGCTTAAAATATAATGATGCTGCAGAATTGAATGAATTTTAAATACTGTGAATGTGGGTTGATGCTATATTTTGAGGAAGAATATTCTAAAGCAAGGCATATGTTTTTGTAAGTGCCACCTTTTCTGAAATGCATCTTTGTCAAGTGTTAGGTTGAGCAAAAGGAAGTGTTGGTAGTAAATGCCTTTGACCTACAGTACAGTGAGTTCCAGTTAAACCTAAGTATTTTCGAGAGCCTAAGTAAAAGTTTCCAGATTTCCACCTCTTTAGAACTTGATGTTTGAATATATTTATGAAAATGTCTAAATGTACATATTTCTATTTATATTGGGTTCTTGGGAGTAGAAAGCATTGAAGTATTGGCCCTAAGAATGTAAACAGCACTATCATAAATGGGACAATAGGTCTGTTGATCTGAATTTTGTGAAAAAGAACAACATAGTCTTAAAATCACCAGTGGTGACCTCTTTAGACCTGCCAAGGAATAATTCTCAAATCTATAAAATATCAGTAAAAAAACAGAATACCAGATGCCTAACCTAACCAGGAAGCTTGACCTTGGAGCCATTGGTGAATTCGAACCCCCAAAAAGGCAATATCTTTATTTATTGATTATTATTACATGAGGTTACTTGCTGATAGTCTGGTCTGTATGTTGATTGCCAGTATGACAGCTCTTTCACATCACCTTTGACTGTTATTGTTGATGCATTTGACAAATACATAGATAACGTAAAAACTAAATTTATGTGGCAGGCACCAGTAATGTACATGTGAGTATGTTTGCAAAAAAATATTGGTAAGATGTATTACAGCTAAAGAGTTAATGTCCCTAATGTTTACAATATTCCTATAGCTTGGTAAAATATAAACACTAGAAAAACTGGTAGGAAAAACAGCCAGCTCAAAGGACAGGAACTTTAATTGGCTGATAATGTAAACTATGTGAAAGTATATTCAGCCTCATTAGAGAAGCAAACAGTATATAGTTTTCACTCATTAGACTAGCAAATTTTTGAAACAGTTAACAGCCTTGCTCACTGGCAGTGATGCAGAGAGAAGGCTTATTGAGAATGTGAATTGCTGTGAATTCCCCCCACCCCAGAATTGATATAAGTAACCTTTGACCCAGCAATTCTACTATATAGTGCTAAAAAAAAAAGAAAGTTCAAATTATAAATCTCTATGACTGTTGCAGTAAGTTTGGAAGTTACAGAAAACTTTAAACAACTTTGCATAAAGTATTGATATCCATATTATAGCATGTCCAGCAATGGAACAGACCAGCCTTGACTTTTATCTATGCACCCAGTGTAACATTTAGGTTGATTTTTAAACACAGAAAGGAGTTTCCTAAGTTTGTCACAGGGACACTTCTGTAAAAATAGTAATTCTGCCTACCACATCTGAACTCATCTATGGTTACAAAAGAACCCAGGCATTTAGCATTATATACATTGCTGGGGGAGGTATATGTTCTTTTTACAATCAAATAATACATTTTTTAAACCAAAAAAAGCTAATAGAATCTAATACTTAAAAATTGTGTTCACCATATAGATGGATGATTCCTGGAAGTACAATGGAAGCGTGGCAAGCATGAAGAAAACGCAGAACACCTCTGCTCTGAAACCAGCCACAAGTCCACCCCCTTCCAGCTCGTTGAATGAGGAGACAGCAGCATCTGGGGAAGGGGCCATGCGGCTGCCCTCTCCTTCACCCTCCTCTTCATCCCTCTCCCATGACCAGGCTGCCACTTCTAAAGCAGAGTGGTCTCCAACATCTGTCCTTGACTTGGTGTCTGAGTCTGGAGAAGGGAGCAGCTCACCCCAAGCAGAGCACTCGAGATCCCAGGTGAGTTGGGAAAGTCTCTTAATCATGTGCTGCTTGGAAACATCAGGGGCTCGGATCTGGAAATCAGGTCTCTAACCCCTCACCGATGCTGGGAAAGAGGTTAATGCATTTTGTTTTAACAAATCTTGGAGGAAATAGCTTTCTTCAAATTCAGAATTTATGGGTCTGGGTAATCCTTGTTAACTGTACGTGTGGAGAGTCCACGGCCCCATTTCTTCCGGGCTTGGCTGGCCTTTTGCTCTCTTCATTGCGTTTCAGGAACTGCTGTGTCACGTGTAGTGCTCAGCAGTGCGGGTCACTTGCAGAGCTTCAGTTGCGGATCTAGTATAAACATGGATAATAAAAGTACCCCTAAAAGAAAGTATACCTGGTGAGACTAGCCTCTAGGGACATGGCATTCCCCCCCCCCCCCCCCCAACAATAATCTTCTAGTGGCTGTAAGTGCTCAGTTAGACTTTAGAGTATCTGGAATTCTAGTCCACTTCTTTTCTCATTATTCTTACGAGAATATTGGAGATGAGTTGTCATTTAGTGAACTTTTATGGTGTGGTCCCTGAGGTATCATACTGCCAACCTGGAGGCCATGCCTGTCTGGTGGTTTGAATCCATCATCGGCTCTGAGGGAGAAAGATTAATCATCTCCTCCGGTGTGATTAACAGCCTCACAAAAACCACTAGGGGGTCAGCTAGGAGCCACATTTGACCCAGGGACAAGGAGCCACTTTTGACTTGGGGACAATGAGAGAGAGTTGAGCCATAATTTGTTCCTTGACATTCGGAATCCAGACAAAATATGTACCATATTTTTACCAAAAAAACCCACGTGCCTTCTATGTGTGTTTGCCAACTCTTCCCTCCTCTGTGGAAGTATTTTTGGAAGTGACACACTGTGCTGTTTTTCACATGTTGTTAAAAAAAAAAAAAAGAAAAATTAGCAAGTACGTTTACAAAAATACCTTCTAGGAGGACAGATCATTTGGCAAACAAATGTAGCAAGTCTGTGTTATTGTGTAAAAATACAGTAGTCAGATTAATAGTGACTGAGGGCATTCTGGCTTTTCCTTATAGACTTTACTTAAAACTCCAATAAATAGCTTTTAGGAGGATACGTAGGTTATGAGTTTTCTTTTAGTGTGTTTTACTGATAAAATTTTAAATTTTTGATTCTCAAGTAAGCAGGAAGATTTTTATTTTTAGGGAAACCTTTGCCAATCTATTTGACAGTTGTTTAAGGTCCTTCACATGGAGGAACTTTCGTGTTTCTTTGGCTTAGTCTGGAACTCTCTGTTGCCTTATTAGAGTATATTTGCAATCCTAAGCAAAAATCCCAAGTATGTAACTTGGCCTATATAATATTTATAAAATACCTTTATGTGCAATACTTTGATAAAGTTTATTTTTTATATAATTAGATTTTTATTTGTACAGGCAAGTTTTAAATGTTTAGTGTTAATTTCCTACTGAACCCCCAATTATAAGATAGCACTCTGGCTACCCCATGTAAGGGAAGGAGTTGTGTTATTCTGCCAGTGCAAAGTCATGTGTTTGAACCTCTCAGCTGTCCCACAGGAGAAAGATGGGTGGTCCCTTCCGGTATGGTTTACAGCCTCTGAAAGCCTGCTGGAAGGCCAGCTATGAGTTGGTTCTAACTTGACAGCACACAACAACAACAACAATTATGGATTTTTATGGAGAAAATTTGGAAACACACCAAAGCAGAAACGATAAAGACTGTCAGAAGTCTCATCATTTGTCAATATTTCCCTGTGCGTATTTATGAATCTTTCTAAGGACAGTTTCTTCAGCTTGCCAGTATCATTTAGTGTAGTTTATTCTATTCACTCTAACAAATGGAAATTTAAACTTAGCATTATGTTTTAATTGAAGAGCATAGTCTCTTCTGTGGTTGTTCAGACATGGGATACCAGTGGAAGAGTAGTAAAGTAGAAGCAAGGTGTCTCTCGTTTTATAGACTTGAGGGTTGACCTTCATCTATTCAAATAGCAAAGTCAGCAAAGCAACCTGATGAATATATTGTTTGTTAGGTGGTTGTACTGCCCTCAGGGTGGCAGCAGATTTACTGCGTCCTTGGATTAAAAATGAAGCTAAGTGTGCTTGAGTGGGTGTGTCCCAGATTCCTAGTGTTCACTGGAGCCTGGATTGCTGTGGTGTAATGCCGGGTTTCATCATTACTGGATTTGTGCTTCTTTGCCACCAAACATGAAGCATATTCCACCAAGCGAAATAAGGTTTGTTTAGCAAGTGGGGCCATTGGAATTATTGAATGTATCTGAACAAGTATTTCTTACGCTAGCCTGCCCTGAGATGCGTGGCATAGGCGTCTAGGAAAGCAGCTTACGTAGCATCTCCTTTGCCCTCCCTTCTGAGAAAGAACTTGCTTACCTGGGAGGAAAGAAGGAATTTCATAAACTAGCTAAGGGGCAATATATAGAGCGTACTATTCAAAGATACCTCAGGGTCCTGTTCAAACTTCAACATTTTTGTTCAGAGAATTACTCCCAAAAATGAACATTTGAGCATCTAGTTGTGTTGGTATTCTTCAGTTCCTTGTTCTCTTTCTTATCTTGTACTCTTACTGATATTTCCTTCTCTCTCCTTTAGATTCAGTAAATTCTATTCTTTTTTTTCAGTTATGTTACAGCTGAGGTGTGTATATGCTTAAACTTTTAGTGTTTAGTGTTAACAGTCAACATTGTGATGGATGGAGAAAAGAAGGAAATTGTCAATGATTTCCTTTAACTTGGATCAACAATCAGTACCCTTGGTACCAGGAGTAAGATCAGGGGACATTGTTATCAGGGACTTCTCCAAAGTTCTGAAGAGCAATGACATCAGTTTATAGACAAGGTCTGATTCAGGGCATAGTTTTTCCAGTCATCTGAGAGCTGGACAGTAAGGAAGGATGACAGGAGGAGAATTGATGCCTTTGAGTTGTGGTGTTGGTGAAGAATGCTGAATGTCCCATGGACAGCTAAAAGAAGAAACAGCTGTGTCTTGGAGAAAGTGCAGCCAGAGTGCTCGTTGGAGGCAAGGATGTCAAAGCTTCATCTTATATACTTTGGGCATGTTGTTAGGAGAGGCTGCTCCTTAAAGAAGGACATCAGGGGAGCTCTGGTGGCCTAGTGGTAAGGAGCTGCAACTACAATCCCAGGGGTTCACGGTTCAAATCCACCAGATGCTCTGCCGGGGAAGGAGGGACAATCTCCTCCTGTACCAGTCAGATCTGATTTGACGGTACACTCACACAAAAATAATAA